GGGACATCTCCACTCTGCACTCTGACATGGCGGCACGTTGCTCTTGGGGTTTGTCCCCTGTGGGCCAGAATGTTCAGCAGTGTCCCCGGTTTCTACCCACTAGATCCCAATACCACCCCTGCCCTCCTCCCAGCCCAGCTGTGACAACCAAAAATGTCTCTAGACATTGCCAAATGTTCCCTTGGGGTGGAGGTGGGAGGCTAAAATCATCCCCGGGGCGGAGAAGGGGGTGAGGATCATAAACATCTACTGCACCAATCAGAGTGATCCAAGTCAGTGTCCACATTTTTTGAAAGTTAGTTTTCATGTTGTTTCAATTGTTAGTTGATTATTGAAGTATCAATAGAAATTAAGTGAGGGATCTTTCTTTTCCTTTGGCACAGTAATCCTGTAGCTTCTAGAGTGGCTCCCTGTACACGTGTGGCTGTGTTGAGGAATGTACTTTACACAGATTCTCATTCTCTCAATAACTCCAGGAGATAGATACGATTATTTCCATTTTATGAGTGAGAAAACTGCATTTCATGGAGGTTGACAAACTTGTCGGGATCTCACAGCTGGGAGAGGCTTTAATCACTGTCCTACCTTCCAGCTATAAGCAGAGGGTGGTGGGTTTGGAGTCTAACCCAAATTTTTGATTCCTCTACGCTACTGGCATCTGTGCAAGTTACTTAAATTGACTCCTCAAGAAGCGCCACTATGTTTATTTTTTGGTCAACTCTTATTTCTGACTTCTCATTTCTACAAAGGAGTCTGGCTTCAGAAAGCGATCTGGGAGTCTGTATTTCCCGTAGAGTGGGGATTCATTTGAATGATTCAGCAAAACCATTTTGTATTCAGAAACAAACTCAAGAACCAGAAACAGGAAAGAAGTAAGGAACAGTTAAAACAGTCTTTCTGACCCTTTCCCTCCCTCCCAAGATTCAGCCTTTGTCGCTTCTGGAATGCTTCGGTCTCATTCAGACTTAAAAGACACCAGCTATGACTTAAACATACATGGCTGCCAACAACTGAGAAAAGTTGCTAAGAGCTTTTTATATGACATCTAATCAATATAAACTGGTGATTATTTATTTGTTTTATTTATTTTTTTGAGACCGAGTCTTACTCAGTCACCCTAGGGTTGAATGCTGTGGTGTCATAGCTCACAGCAACCTCAAACTCTTGGGCTCAAGCAATCCTCTTGCCTCAGCCTTTCCAGTAGCTAGGACTACAGGCGCCAGCCACAACACTTGGCTAGTTTTTCTATTTTTAGTAGAGATGGGTTCTCACTTTGCTCAGGCTGGTCTTGAATTCCTCAGCTCAGGCAATCCACTTGCCTCGGTCTCCCAGAGTGCTAGGATTTACGGGCATGAACCACCGTGCCCGGCCTAAACTGGCGATTTTGATTGGATAGGCAGCACAGTGCCCCCTTGGCACTCCAGGAGCTCCTGTTGGCCCCTCCCCTGCATGTAATGATCTGTAATTTTGTAGACACATGGTTTGGGATTAGTTACAAGGCAGGTATGGGGGAGCAAAACATCCTAGTGAGTTAAGCCCAGCACAAAAAGTGGCTTACTGGTTATTCCCACCTCAGTGTGTCCTCAAAGGAGAGAGAACACTTAACTGATCGTTGAAAAGAAATATGAGGCTTGGCACCTGTTGCTCAGCGCTAGGGTGCCAGCTGCAAATACCGGAGCTGGTGGGTTTGAATCCACCCTCGGCCTGCCAAAAAACAATGACTACAACCAAAAAATAACCAGGCACTGTGGCAGGCACCTGTAGTCCCAGCTACTTGGGAGACTGAGGCAAGACAATTGCTTAAGCCCAAGAGTTTGAGGTTGCTGTGAGCTGTGATGCCACTGAGGGCAACAAAGTGAATCTGTCTCAAAAAAAAAAAAAGAAAGAAAGAAAGAAAGAAAAGAAATATGAAAGAATATGTGCAGGAGAAAAAAAGATTCTTAAAGGAAATATGATTTGAGAGAAAAACCTCTGTAAGCGTTTTGATATTTTTGTTTTGTTTTTTTTGCAGTTTTTAGCCAGGGCTGGGTTTGAACCCACAACCTCCGGTATATGGGACTGCGCCCTACTCCTTGAGCCACAGGTGCTGCCACGTTTTGATATTTTTGAGGTCAGAGATTTAGAAGTATCTCAGGATGTCTCTGTCTCAAAAATG